GGTATTCGTGGTGGTTAAATTACCAGAAAACTTAGAGCCAATCTTTGTTCATTGATTCATAAGATCTTTTGTTGCAAAATATGATTTAACTGGGATGAAGGTTCAAAAGATAAAAGTCTGACGACTGTTTCTATATACTATGAGAAGGAGTAGAACTCTACAAAATTTTAATAAAATGCTAGATAATATTTGCTTTTCGAGAAAGGATCAGATTTTGAGGAGGATACAGATTATGTTAGCGGAACCATTACTATGAAGTACACAACGGATTAATTTATAAACAAAAAATCAAAGAGTATGAAAGTTGTGATATCAAAAGCATATCATTCTTATTGTAAATAAATAGCATCATAAAGTGTTTAGAATTTATGGCCGTTATCGCATAATTTTTACGATATCAAGAGTTCCCGCTCTTCAATGAAATTGCCTGATTTCAGCGTTAGTTAACGTCAAAAGATCTTGAGTGTGCTTTTCTTGGATTTCGGTTGTGCGCTTGAGACTCGTATGCCGGTGAAAAAGTGAAACCACTCGCGGATTTAAGGCTAGTCAGTAAGTAAAATAGCCCTTATACGCAAATTATCATTTCGATTTCTCTTTTTAAAATTTTTAAATAGAGTTTCGTCAAAGTTTCACTTGTTTCACTCAACAAGCCCAAGTACAAAAAAAAATTTTTTTACCTCATTGTTGATCGTGTTTTGGATTAATGGTTACACTATAAAAGCTTAGGTAGCAATTTGGCATAATATTAAAATTGATCCTGTCTAATGTGTAGAAGGCGATTAGAAATGTATAGGGTAAAGATTTTCCAAGTGCAAAGCATAAATTGGATTTTTACGCTTGCAGATTTGAAGCAATAGATTCTAGTCTTTCATTCCAACACAACAATATTTGCTATATTTTTCCTCTGATAGTTCGTTACGAATCGCATAATTCCACAGGAATCCTTCAAGATTTTGTTGTTTTATTAGTTACTCAATAGGCAGTTTTCCAAAATACTCAATGGCTGCTTCGGTTGTGCTACAAGAATAGTGGCGAATATGTAAAAAAGTGAGTTCGAGCAGTCAAAGCTATATTTAAAGATGAGGACATGCCAACACCACTGTTTCATGTAACAACCAAACTAAAGTATCTGAGATTGGGCGCATGCTAAGTAATCTATTTCTGAATCTTTATCAAAACAATTTAGAAGTTTAGTAGAGGTGATTCATATAGTGGGCACTTTCAGGAAAAGAATTTTGGTAAGAATGGCTCAGAAATAAAATTTAAACATAGACGCATGTCTATAAACTTCATGAAACATAACAGATTCACCTCGAATTCCTGTGTGAATACTGTGCAGATCTTGTAATAATTGGAAGAAAGGCTGAGGAGTCATTGCCTGAAAACCAGCATAGAGAAAAAGAAAACGAGGAAACGCCTCAAACTGGTAAACTTTGCCTTCCATACTTCTAATCGCTTTTATGGATTGGATTATTCTGTGTTCTCTGCGAAACTGCTGTGAACATTCTCAGGAAATATAATCTAAAGTGGAGTATAAGCTAAACAATCTACAGCGGAGCGAGGTACAATGAAAAAATTTTGTAAGTTGTCATAGTGAAACAGATATATGACAAAATTCTTAGGACTCTGAAACAAAGAATCGCAAAGATATTTTGCTTACAAGATTGTTTCTTGCTGATTATTAAGAAAGAACTTCGTTTTTTACATCTATTCGGAATTCGCAATCGTTTTGAAATGGTGAGCTATAGCAAATAAAACGCAGTGTGTATTAAAAGGTATAGGTAGAAATTATACTCTGTCTTCACTGGATCTCTATAGTCACTGGAAGGTAATGACTGAACAACATTGTAAAAAATTCCTCAAACAGTTATAATCTGATTCTCACATCGAATTTGGTGACAACTGCAGTTACTGTTCTTAGCCTGCAAAAAAAGGGGCTAAGAGATTCGTTTCTCATTGTTTATCATTTTTGTTTTTTCAGTATAATCGTTTTCAAATTAGAAGTACTGGTTGGGCAAGGCCTTCTTACAAAGATAAACGATCGTTTCAAAGTATAAGCAAGGGCTTTTGTTGGGTAAATGAAAAGAATAATTTTTAGTGAGT